TCTTCCTGTGATTACTCATCTCAGAACTAGAACAGGGTAACAGGCTTACTGGGATGGGGCCAGTGCCTGGACTCCAAAGTAAAAGCAATAGGTTGCTCAAAGATATTGCGGGTGCATCACAAAACTTAATTCTGGATTCAATAAAAAGGGAATTGTGCTGTTTGCATGAATTCCCTGGATAATGTTTTTATCTGGTTAAATAGAAGTCCAGGTGATGACTGTCCTACACCCCAAGTAAGGGCTCACAGAGTGAAAGCAAAGAATAGAAAATAACACACTTGTCTTGGGAACCACTGAGGTTGCTAGATTTCTTGCCTTACCTATGTTTATAGAAAGGAAAGAGTGACACCTGGTGGTTAGAGGCCTGAGCTACCTTTCTATTGTGCCTTGCTCATACATTTTTATCTGGAATTAACTGCAGCAACTCCAGGGCATCTTTAAAAGTAGGTAGGTACTTACATTACTAAAGAAAACCCACAAGCACAATGATGATTTGTCTGTGTATGACAGAAGGTGTTTCTTAGTCAGGGGTGGCGAGTTGTATTGGCCCGGGGTGCCTTGGCTTCACTGCCGGAGCAGCCCCGGGAGCCCCACCCCGTGTCCCGGCTGCCGCTGCCTGAGCAGCCCGAGGAGCCCCGCGGCGTGCTCCAGCCACTGCTGCCCGAGCCGCCGCCGCCTGGGGACCCCTGCCCCGCGCCCCGGCTGCCGCTTCCTGGGCAGTCCAGGGAGCCCTGCAGCGCGCTACAGCCACTGCTACCCAAGCCGCCGCCGGGGGATCCCTGCCCCGCGCCCCGGCTGCCGCTGCCTGGGCAGCGCGGGGCGCCCTGCGGCACGTCGCAGCCGCCGCTGCTCCGGTTGCCAGGGGACTCCTGCTCCGCTCCCCAGCTGCCGCAGCCTGGGGAGCCCCACCATGTGCCACAGTCACGGCTGCCTTGGCCACTGGGGATCTCCTGCTCCTTGCTGCTGCCGCCTGTGCAGCCAGGGGATTCCCACCACTGGCCCCAGCCACTGCTGTCTGAGCCCCCGCGGGTCTCCTGCCTTGCGCCGCTGCCGCCTATGCAGCCAGGGGATCCCCACCACCTGCCCGAGCCGCCGGGGGGCCTCCCACCCCGCGCCCCAGCCACCACAGCTCACGGTGCCCGAGGAGCCCCCGATGCACCGCAACAGACAAGACCCCGACCCGCCACCTGCCGGCTACTACAGAACCTGAGAGACCTGCCCACCCATCACCTGACACTCCAGCTGCTGAGTGACTCCCCCGCTGCCCACCAGCCGCTCCAGCCACCGGGGGACCCCCCAACCGCTCCCCTGCTGCCCCAATCGCCGGGGACCCCCTCCACGCTCCTGCTGCTCCAGCTGACGAGGTATCACCCCACAGCAGCTGCAACTACTGAAAGTTCCCCCTGATGCCCCCCAGCTGCCAAGGGAACTCTGCACTAGGCCCCAGCCGCCACGAGATGTCTCCCCTGTTGTCCTGTGGTCCCTGGTCATGCCCCCTGCTCCCCAACAGCTCCAGCCATCACAAGATGGCTCCCCTGTCCTCCAGCAGGCACCAGACACATACCCTGCTCTCCAGCAGTCCCCGCCACTGAGAGACGACCCCCCCAGCCCCCAGCAGGACACCCTCACTGGAGAAACCTCTACTACCCTGTTTCCCCGAAAATAAGACAGTGTCTTATATTAATTTTTGCTCCCAAAGATGCGCTAGG